ATTTAACATTATATGTCATACAATTAAAATAAAACAGTTTGCTATACGAAGAAATTAACGAAGAATAGATTAAATAAAGTGTTTGTAATTTTTAAGTTAATACAATTTTTAGTTATAAGTGTGAAGGGTGCAATTTGTAGAAGAGTTTTTACTTATACGTACTAAACACTAACATATTCTTTGCATTTTATACACTTTTAAATGCTAATAACTTAAAAAGTAGTAATGCTAACTGGTTATTGATTGTCAAAATGTATTCATTGTTCCTTTAATATAAGAAAATAATTATAGGTTCCCTTTTGATTTTTGAAAGTTATTTCCAAAATCTACTCTTAGAAATCATTTTTTCTTATGAGAAACTTGATTTTTAATATGGTTCATAAAAATAAACCAAATTTTAATCTATTTATTTTTATCAAAAAATCAACATTTAACAAATAAAAAGAATGCATTTTTCTCAATATATTACACTCTATAATTAAATTTAACTATCAGATTTATAATAACTATAGAAGACCTAATATGTGTAAATTCAAACACAAATTTATTTTGATCTAAAATTGTAGTTGTAGTATTAATATTCGTTTATCGAATTGACAAATTCAACTATGAGTTTTACCAAAATAAATTACATTAAGCAATAAAAAAAACAAAATTGAATTGTGTTTATGTGTTTATGTGTTGTCATAAACTTATTATTTTTTATTGTTTTCTCAATGTATTTAAAAATTCTCATTGCCACACAAAAAATGTTGTTGCGAGCGATAGGTTTTCTCTGATTAGCTTACAATTAGTAATAACTTAGAATAATAAAATACTTATGCCTTCACTCTTTATTATCCCACAGACAAATATTTTTAGCATAAAAATGTCATCACAAAACAACAAATTGCTAGAATCATATCGTAAAGCTATATATTTTAAATTAGTCCGTTAATTCTCTTTTCATACTTACTTCATCTTTTAAAGACCATATTTCTCAAGATAATTTATTACCTTAGATTTAGCGGCTTCATTTATAATAATTTGACTGAATAAATATTATATAATGTCTTTGTTATATCCATTAAACGATCTATTTATAATATCATTTTTTTAAACATCTTTCAAACAAAAATGTGGTACTAACTAATAATGAATTTTCAATATTGACCCTAAAAGTTTCTATTCTCGTATATCAATCAATCTCTAATTTATACTTTATATGGCATAATGTAACTCAATTCATATTATATTAATATTAACAATTATTTCTGAAATATATGAGCTGATGAAATTTCCAAATGTGTATTTAAGCTGCTGTAATACAGCAAAAATGGTACTAATTAGACTGTATCCAAAAGAAAATGTCCTTGTGAACTTAACAAGATATAAAGACGGACGAATATAATTATCAGATAATGACGATTGTTTGAGTTATCACCACTTAGTCAAATGACATTGGATTTTTTAAACTTGTTGAATAATTTTTGTGATAGGGTTTATAGGCAAACATAAATCAAATTTTATTGATTCTAATAAGACAATGGTCACTAATGAAATTGAAAATTATATTACAATGCTTATACTTTCATATATTTAATACAATGGCAATAATATCAAAAGATATTATTCACATAATAATCATTAAAATGTTTTAATTAAAACAAATTGAAGATAGGATTTTCAATAAGATAAATGAAATTCAAACAGTCACCTAGTTACCAACGATAATAAATATTTGGTCCTGTGATGTCATTACTTGTTCTAAAACTGTATCGTTTTCGAAATTTAATTTAGTAATATACCTGTCAATATAAGTGAAAACTATATTTTTGATAATTTTAACTTAAATGCTTATTTTTAAAATTAATAATAAAAATAATAATTTTATATTTAACTATTACATATTTTACTTCACTAATAATTTTTAAAAATATATTGCATTATATAAATTTTAAGGAAAATTATGTACCAGCCAAAAACAATTAGCACAATTTTTACAAGTGATTGAGTAAAAAGTTTGTAGTATACTTGAATGTTTATTGATACATGTGAATTGATATGCACCTTATAAAAATTCAGTTAGGTACGTGTCAACNAAGTTTGTAGTATACTTGAATGTTTATTGATACATGTGAATTGATATGCACCTTATAAAAATTCAGTTAGGTACGTGTCAAATAACACAAATATATTTGATAGATATTTTATACATTGATTTTGCAAAGTAGCCATTATTATGAACGCACCTGTCACCGATGTACTCGACTACGTCTCGCGGGAGATAAGTCTGTTGCTCAGCCAAACGTGTCGTGTTTACATTTTTATTTTGAAAAAAGTGATGAAGTACTCTCTAGGGAGTGATCACATGGACATTCCTCATTCAGTGGCGTATATAGTTTTGCCTGTCGATGGCGGTCAATGGCACTCGTGACCAGTCTACGTTATTGTACTTTTTTTAACGATTGTTAGCGTTTTTAAGAGAGAAATCTGTCGTTCAATTTCTTTGTTGAATAGAATGATCGATAAAATTTATACATTTACATCACACAACCAAAATATTGAATATGAAGATTTTCCATTTTTTTCAATTTCTTATAATACAACAAAACTAATCAAAAACGTTTTCAAGAAGAAAAATACAAAATGGGTTCTTCAAAATATTATAAAAAATGATAGCTGTATAATTATGATAAATGTTAATAATATTTGTGGTTGAAATCATTCGTAATTCTGCAATAAGTTTGTTGAATATTTCGGTAGGATGTTATTTCAACGTTTGGTTAATGAGATTTTTCAACTGACCATTTATTTTTATTTATACCTTCAGGTCTCATAAAATACTTACTCACATCACAACATTTGGTTTTTTATTTAAATATTCATACCCCTAATAGAGCAAATTAATAAAATCATTCAAAAGAAACGAGTTTCTTTAAGTTCTTATGTACAGTTAACATTTTAACATAGTTTACGGTATCATTAATTATTTCAAAACGAGCTCGTAGCCATAAGCTATTGTTAGCTCGAAATAAAATGTTACCTGAACTAAATCATTTTCAAACATTATTATGAAATAAACTTATGTAATTATACATGTGTTATATCCATAAATCTTAAAAGTAGGTAACATTAATTAACTACTGTGTATTTCTGAATTTTATAAAATTATAATAGTATTTATTTCAGATTTGGTTAAAACAATTTACATTTTTGTATTGATGATTAAAAGAATTCATCAATAAGCTAGCTTATTTTATTGAATGAAATGATATAACTTTTTTATAATAGAACTACCCTATTTAAACGTTTTCTTTAGCCATTGTTTTTTTTTTTTAGTATAAAGATTATACGTATAGCTGGGCACAAACGAGTTAATAAGGTAAAGTTGACTTAATTTTTTTAACTTAATGGAGATGTTTAGAATATATTAATGATTTGATATAAAATAAACGATTATTTTTGGTATTTTTCGTTAAATATCTCTTTTTTGGTAAAATTTTAAATATAAGAAATAAAAAAAAAATTCTATTAGTTGACAATTATTGAAAAATTATTATTTTATTATTGCTTCGTTGTTTACTTCATAATGAAACTACATATCTCGTTTTTCGAAATTATTTAAAATATTACACTATTTTTATAAAACAAAAACTCGAAAGGTTTTTGTAAAAGTACATTATAAAAAAAAAAAAATTATTATTTATTTCAAGAACTATTAAAATATGTGTCACATTGTAAACATATAGAGTGTTCAGTAAGTAAGGAAACGGGTTTCTATTGTTCTCATTTATAACAATTGATCTGTTTCTTTAATAACTTAACATTTTGTATATTTTTCAAAAAAAAATCTCAATTGTCCAGATATACATTTTTATCATAAAAACGATATGATACAATTTCTACTTGCTTACATAAAAATCAATGAATTTTTATAATTAAAATGAAATTATATCTCACATTTTTTTATGTTTTATTATAAAAAATAAATTTTTGGAAGGAAATCCATTAGTCAATCCAAAATTTTTTATTAACCAATGAAAGGCTTTTGCAAACTTACTAGCAATTACACTTTATCAATTTAACATTTGATTTAATTTATTAAAAAAACAACGAGTTAACTTTAACTATTAACTGATTAACATTTTTCAATTAACTCAATCTTAACGAATCAAAAAAGTCATTAACATGCACAGTCTTAGGTATACGCATGTATAATTCAGGATGCTATCGCAATTTTTCTTGAGACATTATAGTATTGTTTGTTACATTAAACTTTCGTTAAACTTATTCATAATTATTGACATTATTGTGTATTAATTGTTTAGTTATGACAAAAAATGAAAATGTTTGCCGTATACAATAACCAAATTTAGAGTAATGCGATATTTCAAGATGTTAAGAATTTTTAGGTCTAAGCATTTTTTTAAAAGACATATCCGACTCTTAAAAAAACTTTGAAGTTTTATTTGCTTTGTAGTCATAGAGAGATGTCTAATTATAGATACCTTTATAATTTAATTTTTGTTTTAAAATCACTAAAGCGCTAGACAATATTCATAATAATTTTGTAATAACTATATTTCTGCTGGGTTTGTTATGGCCCTTTATTATAATTGTACATTTTGAAAATATATAATTTCCAAATTTGAATATACATATAATATACAAAATATTTAGGCGTTCTTTATTTAAACAAGATTTTGATTCCAATTCATTTTTCTTTTAATCAGTAAAGCTGACTTTTGGCTATTATACAAGTTAAATACGTTTAGTCTCTTAAAATATTTCATTGAATAAAAATCTTTTAAGGGTTTACACGCAGGATAAATAAGCAAATATTTAAGTAAAAATGTATACACATGCACTATTGTTTCTTTCAACTATCATTTTTTAGGGGGAACATCAAAGATATCCACGCCCATATTCACAACGGCCGTCCAATGGGAACCCTCTCAGCGACCGATTTCGTGTTTCTTGTTTACCAGGCGGGGTCGTCTCTTTGCCGGTGTAACCGATCGCGATGCTGGACTAGGTCGGTAGTATACGTTTTGCGGTCATCGTGTGAGTAACAGTTCGGTTACGGCCAAGTGTTGGGTGATTTTTCAATTTTTTGGTTACATATATCTTGTGCTCTGTAGTGTGTTATTTATTAAATCATTTTTAAATTTATACTCTTAACTAACTGTTTTTAGGAGTTATAATATATTGTATTTGAAAATGGCTGTTTCAACGTTAAACATGACTCCATATTTCACAGGATATCCATTCCAAGGTAATTAAATATTAAAATGTTTCTTGCAGTAACTGAATTGATTATTAAGTTTAAGTACTGTGATAATATCAGACCGATAAATTTCATTAGGCTCTCAAATATCTTATGTTATAGGAACGAGTATGAATTAATCGACCAATTGTTTTTCTATATATTACAGGCCAGGGTCGTATGAATCAGCTAGGAGGTGTTTTCATCAATGGTCGCCCGCTACCGAATCACATTAGACTTAAAATTGTGGAAATGGCTGCAGCCGGAGTCCGGCCGTGTGTTATATCACGACAGCTCAGGGTATCACATGGTTGCGTTTCCAAGATTCTAAACAGGTATCAAGAAACCGGAAGCATCCGACCTGGTGTGATCGGCGGAAGTAAACCCAGGGTGGCCACTCCCGACGTAGAGAGACGCATTGAAGAGTATAAAAAAGCCAACCCGGCAATGTTCAGTTGGGAAATCCGTGATAAATTAGTCAAGGTGTGTTTGAATTTGATTTTAAACTAACAATTTGCTTTAGAGGGCCTTTAATTTATTTTAGATAAATAAAAATAGGTATATTTTAAATAATTTTCAACACTTTTTATAATATATAGATTTAAATTATTCATAACATCGTATTAGCCATCGTTAAAGTCACTTTAATACCAAATATATAAAACTTTGTGATCAGAACAATTATTTCTGTGAAAGAAATACAATTTTCTGCAAAAACTTTTATTCATTCACAAATAACCGGAATAATTAATTACAAAAATATCCAGTAATTTGATTAAACACATATAGGTTATAAATTTATAAAAAATAATGTAGTTTCAATTTAAAAATTAATATTGTTTTTTTACGAATAATTTGAGTCTAATTCAATTTTTTTAGTCGATTTATCAGAGAAATATTATCAGCTGATTAAATAATCATATTATAGAGACACCAATAGTTTATTTTATGAGCTTATCACTTCATTAATTTATTTAATAATACTAAACTTATATAATTTTACTACTTTTAATAATGAATAAGTTGTAATTTTGATAAATCACTGGAAAACATTAAAATGTTTCTTATTTCCAAAAGTAAAAAAACATATGAATTTGAGTCTAAAAACAAATTTTTGGTTCGATTTTTTCAAGTTCCTGAAACTTTATTTAATTCTCAAATCGTTGATAGTGTATTACTTACAATGATAAATAATTATTGAATCGCGATGCGTTTATAAAGTAAACTTCCTATTCCATTCATTTGTTTCCAACATAAGTAGTATGGTAGCAGTGTTAAACATATTTTAGGCGTACTAAAAATGTGGATTTTTTGTTGTTATTTTCCCAGCAGGATGGCATTTGCGACAAAAATTCAGCACCGTCCATCAGTTCTATTAGTAGATTATTGCGCGGTGGCAGAAGGGACGAGCTGAAAAACCATTCCATAGATGGTATTCTAGGTAAGTGTCTAGTTTAGAATATGACGTTTTAATGATCTATACATTGTTGTAAATATGAGTGTTTGGTAACACGGTACCTGCAAGAGGCCGGTCTATGAACGTACATAACGGGTCTTTAGGGAAAAGTCATAAAAAGGGATGGCCGATTGTGGCAACGTTTCAACTCTATCATCGTGGGTGATATACGACTTTGGCTACTCGGTATTAGCTACCGGGGAAACCGTTAACCGAAAGGATACCGTCCATTTCATTGTACTTGGGCCGACCGCAAAAAAAAGAAAAGAAAAAAGAAATACTTGTATGGAGAAAGGCGTGCCCGTGAAGTGTGTGAGAATCGCGACGACCACCAAGGGTTCGTCGAGGCGGCAGCGGCGGCTACCACGGGGGAGGTTTTACGGTTAACACTTTTTCACCCAGAATATAAAAAGAGAAGGAAAAAATTCACGACCGGCCGATTTATCACCTTGTCAACGGGGTGGTCGGAAATAGGCGTTTACCACCATCGTTTAGTGACACTACGGCTACCAGTATATTATCACGTTATGTTATGCGCTGTACAGCATAATAACATGTGTTGGCCCGAGCTATTTTTCTTTATTGTTGAAAAATATTTTTTCTCCCAAAAAATATATTATTTAACACTTGTGTAATAATAAAATTGTAGTTATAATGCAATCGAACACACGACCTGAGATTTTTCGGTGTAATCGTGACGTTTAAAATAATATAATTTGTATATTACCATACACATGTACACTGGTCGATGCAGCAGCATCGGCAGCTTCACAAGAACCTGTCTCCGCGGGGTGTCCTTTAATGTAAAAGGCTTGCCGACATATGTAAAACTCGTTTAATTCGCTGTAATTTAAAAATGGATTTTTCTTCTTCAAAGTTGTCGGCCCGCACACCTTGGTCGGGCATTACTATATAAGTGTTTTCAGTCTTCAGATTTGGCGGCATCTCGCTAAAATTTAATCACACGCGAGACACACGCGCTTGTATCTTCTAAATCCAGCCGACTTTAATCGCTACCCACCGGAATCTTTTAAATAATGTCGCACGCTTTGTGCACCAAAACGTCTGTCGTCATGATTTGTTTGCTATTCAAATGCGTAACTGTTATAATAAAAATAATAATGCTGCATACAACAAAGATCAACGTTCGGTTTTTTTATATTTCATATAATACACGAGTACGTGGAACAAGTAGAGTATTATATTGTTATTACTTTTGTACCAATAAGAGTCATTATTTATTCATGCGAAGTATGCCATTTATAATATGCATAAGTAAATACGCAATTTACGTATGTTATTTTACAACGATTAATAATACTTATTTTCAATCACTTAAGGTAATGTTGACAGGATTATAAGTTTGCTTTAAATATCAAGTTAAACCAAGTGGCTTGCTCGGTTTTCTACGAAGGCATTGACAGAATCAGGCATAATATTTTTGTGAACTTTTTTTAATAATTTATTTATCGTTTGGTACATTATAATATGGTGCTGATGATTTGTTTATTGAACTATAATAACGTGTGAAAATTGTTGTGTTGTAATCGAACGACCACCACAACGCAGTGGATAAACCGGTAATCCATTTGAATGCGGTTAGACAAATTACGGCAAACATAAATTTTAACACATAGATTTTAAATAATACTATTTAATTCTCCATAATGACAATTCAGTATTTTATTATATTTTAATCAGACCAAGCACCGGTTTGCCGCGACGATGTGCTCTGGTGAAATGTATCGCATGAAAGTATTAATATTAAGAATTCAATATTCGTTTTTATCATAGTAATAATTACGTTGATCTTGCGTCGGTAAAATTGTCGGTGTAACTTATCTACGAGGAGTTCATCATCGTCAAAATATGCGCATTTAATCCGCCTACTCAACAACGAGACTGGCATTGGTCCATCTAGTTCGCTTCGAGAAATGGCGAAAAATTCAATGCGAGACGTGGGAAGTGCTGATCGGTATCTACTAGCGTTTGCCTCTCAATTTAACTTTCTCGGTACTTGATAATAATAACAGTTACATTGTTTTTTTCCGTTGAATGTGAACTGTACGAAAAAAACACGCCGTATTGTACCGGTAACAACAGTTTCGGCGATCGGAACTGGATGTGCGCGTAATGGTTATTATGAAAATGATCTGATAAGAACACGGAAAGCCCAACGGTCCGGGCTGTGGGTAATTATCGGAAAAATAGGATACCAGCAACGCGGTAACATGTGTTACTTCGGGAGAGTTCTTGTGCCCGAGGGCGTATTCCACAAAACGCATGTAAAAATATATCGGTAACAATTAAAAAGCACTGCCGGCGACGGTTTGGTTCGCTGTGATTGAGCGTCCGGATATTTGTCAAAGGCGGCGGACGTCGTGGAATCAATCAACGATGGCCGCCGACACCGTTCATTTACATACGTCAGGACTGTAANGGCGGACGTCGTGGAATCAATCAACGATGGCCGCCGACACCGTTCATTTGCATACGTCAGGACTGTAAATTAATAAAAAACAAACGGCGGTTACGTGCGCGGTATAGATTTACGGTGATCATTCATTGGGTCCCTATGACCCCGCGGCCCCGGTAAAAAACGTCCTGTCAGTGTATCGGCGTGTAGTAGTCCTCGTCGCCTAGACCCATTAAAAACAATACACGTACGGGGCACGCTGTGGGCCCGGCACATGACAAATGCAATAATATTATTCACTCGACCGCCCTGTGTTTGGTGGACGTCCAAATAGTTTAATCGGTTTTTGTGTGTGTGTTTCAGGACCGAGTAGCGCCGACGATTCCGATACCGAATCCGAACCAGGTTTCCATCTGAAGAGGAAACAACGCCGGAGCAGAACAACATTTACCGGCGAGCAACTGGAAGACTTGGAACGAGCGTTCCACAAGTCGCAATATCCGGACGTTTACACCAGAGAAGAACTGGCTCAAAAGTAAGACGTCCGTTTAAACGTAATATTATCATGATCGTTACGGTACAGTAATTAAGTTATTATCAACGCGAGTTTAGCCCGTCGTTTACGTTGTGTGCGCGTCTATTTTGGGTACTGTACCGGACCGTTGATGATGAAAAAGACACCAAAACGCGGTGGGTGCGATTAAGAGGGGCGTAATACGTGGAGTAATGGATCGGGGCCCTCTCCGGAGTATAATAATGATAATGATAATATTTTAATGACCGGCTTCGGGTGGCCGCCGACATCAGTGAAAGTGAGCCGCCGCTATCTCACGATCGGACTCGAGTATCTGTTCGCTATAACATTACTCGGCGGAACACGTCTGCGGCGTATATGTGTATTGTGGAGTGTCATAAGGGTCAGGCCGAGGCTGAGAGGTCGGTGAAAAATAATAGCGCCGAACATTGGGCGAAATAACGAATACACGACGCGACGTTCGCCATTATATTTTGGGGACATCCTGGTGGTCATTATATTTTTTGGCCGTGCACGACTCGTCCTGGAAACGGCCCTGTGCCGACACGTACGTGACACGCGGGTTGGGTTCGAAAAATAAAACTTTCAATCCACCAACGGTAAATAACACGCACACTACTTGTTGTTTCAGGACCAAATTAACCGAGGCCAGAGTCCAAGTTTGGTTCAGCAACCGCCGAGCTCGTCTCAGAAAGCAAATGGGCACACACCAGCACATGAACGCCGCAGCGGCCGCCGCGGCTTTCAACCCCGCAGCCGCTGCTGTGGTCAGCTTATCGGCGGCCGCTGCTGCCGGCGGTTTCCAGACCGGTCACAATGGCCACAACGGCGGTAACGGTCAATACGGCGGCGCCGGCAATCACCATGATCACGGTGCTTCTACCAGCTTCAATTCACCCCAAGGTAAGATATGAGCACTACTACTACAACGCGGTGGCCAGCCAGCCGCCACATACGTTGTGATGGTAATAATGATAATGATGATGTCTCATATACGAGGCCATCACGGAAATTACACGGTGCGAGACGATTAACACTGCAACGGTAACGTTTCATTAATAGGTACTTTTTTTATTTTGAACATCGGTCATTTTAACTAGTAATAGCCGTGTTCGCGTTTGCCCTCGCGAGAAGCATAATAATAATGAATTAAAATTATATTGCGTTGTGGGGATACAACAAGACGATAGAAACATACGCACGTAAAATTAAAAAATATCATATTCACGACGTTGGCAATTTTTTATCAAAATATAATAACATATTATGTACCGGTACTGTACGTGGTATTTATTACAAGAATATTATTAAACACTCACGACTCCGGACGAGTGCACGTTGTAATAATGTCTGTTGTGTGATTTATTTTTTACATGTGCGTGCAATGGTGGGAAGACACGCGTTTTTTTTTTTGTACTACAAAAGATTAGGGTGTCATTTCGATACAACATGATGTATAATATGTCAAACGGGTGACCATAATAACCGATGTTTTTATTAAAGAGAAACATTGTTAACGGTTTTTAGAGCGTTTTAATAACTTTCGTTTCGATCAAGTTGTTTACAGTATGGATTTTATTTATTTTTTACAGGTACTACTCATGGCGCTTGGCCCACAGGCACTGGTTACTACACCGGAAATTACGGAACTGCAACTGTCGGTAGTCCGACAGGTGTAAACGGCACCACCGACATGTATCACCAACACGCGTCGCATCACCATCATCACCAGAACACTGCAACTGTTAACAGCTCTTCGTATTCACCACAAGGTACCGACCATTCGTTGGGCGGATGGTCCAAGTCCAACAAGGAAACTGCGTGGAACCCGGACAGCTACTCGTAAGTACACCTTGTTTGTGTCGTGCCTATACTAAACCTCGTAGGTTGTTGAACCCTAAGGGAGCTAAAGTGATTTCAAATCTGTTAAGAATGTGCCCCCGTCCATTAAGTTACAATAGACATTTCTAATTGGATTACTTGTAATTTGTCTGTCTATTTGTACCGCGCGTAAGTACTTCCACGTATCTCGTGTTTCGTAACAGTCTTTTTGCTGGTCCCTCGCCGCCGCCCGATGAGTAATGCCTGTAAATTAATATCGAAACGCGTATGAAGAGAACGTCCGGACATAAATAGGATAGAACCTGATAAATTGTCGGCGCGGGGTAGGGGGAAATTTTTTTTTGTTTATTTTTTGACGGTCCCGTATGGAAGGTATCAGAAGAAAGGAATTGTCATTAGACGACCGTGCTGCTGTAGCATTGCACTGGTTACCACCCATGCAGCACAGTGGTAACAACCGCGTCCGAGTTCCCGATGACGATGATGCCGACCGAGGTGACTTTTACAAATCGACCACTACACAAATTGCCGCTGAAATACAATGAAATAATGACCACCGCGTTTATTCATTAGAGAAGGGCTAACGAAAAAAAAATACTAAAGCGTACCTAGAAGTTTTTGGTTAGCGATAAGTTATAAGCGGTTCTCACAATTACAATAATAAATATACTTATTTCATACCTCACACGTAATTCAAAGGGTTTTACAGTTTGGTTTTTGGGAAACCCGATATTGTTTAATAGTACAAGTTAATCGTTTTATCGACATAAATTGAACTAGTTATTAATAAAATGTGTTTTCCGTTTTAATAGATTTTTCGCCGGAGGCAATTCCATATACGGCCCGACCGGTACGAATTTGGCTCCTCATTCGGCCAGTGAAGCAAAATCTGGTTATCCTTACTTCGGTCAATTGTCTCAAATGGACGCTATGTGTGGTAGAGTGCATTAGCCCAATCTCTCAAATGACTCACACCGTCAAAACATATGTAACATAATACTTTTATTACTACTTGAACGCGTCGATATTTCCTCTTCCTTAACCTGTGTTCTTTTTTCTTCCGGATAATATATTTTATCATAATTATTGTTAAATGAGCATTACTATCGAAATATGTACTTCATTTCAACTTATAGTAGCATTTTAATATTCTATTATTATGAACTTATTTGTTATACATAATTAATGTTTTTAATTATAAATATTATATCATCATTGTCGTTTAGTAATCATATTATTATGCATCATATACACATAGTAATAGTAGTTATTTGAATTTTTTTTGTAAATATAAATTGTATTGTATTATTATTATTATTATTATTGGCAATAAAAACCGTCTGTACGATCAAATACCTCGTCGTTTTCTCTATATACTCCTATTCTATTATTATAGTACATGTTGCACATTTTCAATCGGACCGGGTGATGAAACCCAAAACTGACCACTTGTTGGAGTGCCAGTGACCATTATTAGGCGTATATTGTCCGTGGCCTATAGTTGAAATGGGTCTTAAGAGCCGGATCACGGACACACACAATGGATAAAATTTCCTGAAAAGATTGCACGAGCCAAATGCAATTGTTGTTGTTGGCTGTGTACAAACTGTTTTGAAAGCAGTGGGAAATAACTGAAAATGCTAAAAAAAAATTACCTGTATTATTATGCCATCTATATTGTGGCCGATGGACGGTTGCAATAATAATTACATTGGGATCATCGAGTAGGAGGATATGTGAATAATATAGTACAGAATAGAGAGCGTATGATCCACACTGGTTTAATCTTCCATGTAATATGCGTACAATATATGGACCTTTCGTCATTTTGACTTGATTTCATTCCTGACGGTTACACGTCTTTCTGTATTATTATGTGAGCAACTAGGGCGGTCTTTACGTATTTTTTACCTAAACGTGTCTTGACGACGTAATATCGTGAATCTTCTTACTCAGACGTCATACTTACCTAAATAAATGCACTACTCATCATATTTAGATAGCTCTATTTCGGCGGTACTCCTTAGTAATAATATAGATACCTAATGCGATAAGTTATACTAAATCTCAATCTTATAATGGTACATGATAAAATGATTCAATTTTTTTTAATGATAATGAACATTTTACTCGAAGAATGTAATCGGAAAAGAAATTAGTGATAGATATATTTATATTTTTTTTCACATGTAAAAAGTTTTAATATTTTAGGAAGGGAATTTATAAAATATTTCATTGAACAATAAAAAAAGAATCCAACTATCCAATTTGTGAGTCCATGAATTAGATTTCATGTTAAATTATATTAATTTTTTTAAATGCGAGATTTATACATTTTTAATAATATTTTGCAAAACCACCTTAAATTATTTGAAAGTTTTTTTTTATTGACAATTCTTTTCAATTATCAACACACAATACTTGATAACTACGACATAAATAGAGATTGAGGTTAGACAATGCTACGAAATTGACTTTTTTTTAAACTTAATACAACCCATGTGTATGTTAAGTACATTTTATATGCAGCTTAATAAACTCTATACATAATTTATCTATATTATACTGAATCCTTAAGTATAACTAAATAATAAACAAAGCTAACTTTTTATTAAATGTACAATGTAAATTCGTAAATAAGTAAATATGACGTCTTTCAAGATTATTTGACAGTCCAAACTAACCCAACTAATAAACCACTAAATACAATTATTTTCGTATCAAACTATAAAGTTTTTTTAGATATTTTCATTACTTGGAAATTAGCTTTCCTGAAAGACAAATATTCTAGTGATCAAAGTAAACTTTTAATGAAGATATTTTTGACTATATCATTAATTTCTAAAAAAAATATAAATTACCAATTATAGTACAAACCCATGGATTTCCCTTATACTTATAAAAGGCCCATGTTTGAATAGTAGATTAAAAAAACTATAGAAATGATCCAAAGAAATCATCAGACCAATTTAAGTATTAGAGAATAATATAATCGTTTAACTTTTATGTGAGTGTAAAATAATCGTATAGCAATCGTGAAAAACGACATATTAAGTTTAACGACATCAAAACCACAATCTTCCATAAGAATTTATTTTATTTTAGCATTAAAAGCTAAAATTTTCCATAAAGTCCAAGTCAAATTTCATATGAACAGTTTCCATATTTTAGATAGAAAACAATAAACTATATTTAATCTTATAAAAATATTAAATATCATGAATTTCATTATACGGTTATCTTGGACGTATAGTGATATTAATCAATTATTAAATTTTAAATTCGACAGTAAAAAAACTTAAGCATCTACGCTGTATCCACTAAATATTATTTCTAATATTAGATTTTATTATCGAAAAATAAAAAAATAATTTTATGCACTCCTTAAGTTATGGCAGTATAAATAAATATAAGTCTATTGATATACATAAATATTTCTCACATTATTTTGAATTTTTAGTTTTCATAGTTATCGCATCTAAGCGTTTTTGAATCCCTTTTTCTTAACTTCGTTTGTTTTCATTAAAGTATAAAAGTAATTGATTAGGCCGTATAATGTCTAATCTTATCGTATGGATCATCATCAGACATGTCGGTTATTTTTGTTGGCAAACGGACTTTTCAAATGTCACTTTGAAGGATTTATGGGTTTATAAACGAAAAAAATAATAATAACAAGCAGAGGAGATGTAAGTATGGCCTTTGTTGTGTAATGTTAATGCGGTCGGTACACGTTAAACAAAAAAGAACCATATGTCGTATTTTTTATTGTAAAAAATACATATCTTTTTATATTTTGTGCATACAACAACAATAGACGCATACCGTTTGTGTCACGCGGACACCCACAAAGACCGCGGTTTACTGTGGTATTTAACTATAAAAAGTGTAATGTGAAAAAAGACCAATGCAATAATATTGGGCAGCCTCAGCACATCACGCAATTTCAACTGTTCACAAAATTTATAAAAACTTTTACATTTTAAAATAAATTTTTTTTAGACGTCATCTTAAAAAATATTTTACTCTATTTTTTGAAAACGGAAATTTAAGAATATTGATTTAATCCGACTTAGTAAACGTTGTCATCACATAATACAGTGTAATATAATATCAAATAGTAAAATAACAAGACATGTAAAGCATTACTACCATTATTTGCCTGAGGAGTCTGTCAATGAGAAGACTCGGCTAAGTTTCGCCTTTGTACTGTACTAAAACTATTACCACAGGTGAAATACGTTTAGAAATTCCATTACGTTTAACAAATTGACCAATCGCCATACTCATAGTTACTAAATTTAATGCTAATAATTACTACAGTTATATTTTTAATGTGGTTGTATTAGTTATTCAGACTATTTAACTAACTAACTGTTAACGATTTTTTATTTATAAATCTTTTCACATTTCATTTACAAGGTCACCAAAGAAGAAAACGTGCAGAATTCGAAACTTTCAATCAACACAGTTTAATATGATAATTTGTTTAAAAATTGTGCTGTAATAGTCGCCAAGGACCTACAGGCATGAGTTTCTAGTTTTCGTCAGCTACTGCGATTGAGAATAAAAAAAACGTTTTTAACCAGTAAAATGTACACGATCGACCGGGTTTTGTATGGGATCACGGCGAATAGTCGGCGGGCTCAAGTAGGCGCGACGGAATATGATGATCATTATGAAAATGATCGCGTACGAGTGCGTTTTTTAAGGAGGCGTGGGGTTGTGCTGAAGTATCGACAGGCGAACGTGGACCCGCTACACGGCAATGCTCACGTATAGAGTGTTGTTTTGCGGCCCATGGGAATCTCGCCGGCCGCGGACCAGTGCCGGCAACGCATTACGTTATGTACCCAACAACAACGGGCGGCGTTTTGATTACAGGGAGACATAATATCGCGGACACACACCGACGACCATCACACGCGCAAGTCGATGTGCGTACGGTAAGTATACACATGGCGCGCACCGGTTGTGTTATTATCGGTTAGGGCGAGGCGGTAAAGCGATTGAGGAGACTCTATGGGACTGTGGCGACGTCGACTCGTGTGCGTTGTGACGCGCGCGGCTTGTGCGTTGATTACAGTCCACGTTAACCGGTCGCCGCCGCCGCAGTAACTTGTAATAATAACTGTGCCGCCCGATGAAAGCGATCCACGCCCACGCGGTAACTGGCCGCACCGAATCACCGGCAAATTCATTAATGCCGACCAAACGCAATACATCCGATCCACACACAACCGATTGATAAAGCAAAATAAATTATCATATTTAATTATTAAATCCACGCGGTTGTGTGGTTATTGTCATGCAGAGTAAAAGCCACGAATTACCCGTACAATCACGATCTAGACGAATACAGGCGATTTGTACACATTTTTTTATCGTTTGATGTCTTTATTTGGCCTGTAATACAGCCGTCGTGTTACGTTCAACCGCACGACTTTTTTTACACAAACAACACAAATTATCAAACAACTCTATTATCGCGTAATGAATACTGTTAAACGTGTAAATTTTATAGTTTTCAATGATTTTACATTTACTACGGCGATTGGGTTAAAATTGTATACAAATTAAAAAGTTGTGTCCTAACCTGATATAGTTTGGATTAAAAAATTTGTGAACGNATCAAACAACTCTATTATCGCGTAATGAATACTGTTAAACGTGTAAATTTTATAGTTTTCAATGATTTTACATTTACTACGGAGATTGGGTTAAAATTGTATACAAATTAAATTATCAGGTGTCCTAACCTGATATAGTTTGGATTAAAAAATCTGTGAAGGATTTTTTCTTAAACAAACATCTTTCAATCGATGAAAAAATCGACTGTAGTAAAGTGCTGAAAACATAAAACTATTTGTGTGAATATGAAATAGTCACTATATTGATCGAAAAGAATATTGCTCATTAGTAGTGAGTATAGTAACCGTTAATCATATAAAATACTACAGTGGAATCTACTAAGAAAAAATGTTCAAATAACCTTCGAGCTGGGAAGTTATTGAAACGATACTAATATCTAATGAAAGTCTAAAACTAATGAATATGATTTTTCTTGTATTTGTAGCCAATAATAATCGTGCTCATGCATGCAATTAAAAAATTTACACATTTAAGTAGTTAAACAAAACTTAAATGTTCTAAAAAAATAAAGTTCATTACAATGTAAAATGCTTAGAAGAGCATGCTCTTTAAAAAAATCAGTCAAGTTAACACATTACTAAACTTTTTCATCGTTATTTTATTTGAAAAAATATCTCATTAATATGAATATAAAATTAAGTGACCATAATTAACATAAAAAAAATGTCAA